CCACACCCACAGAGTAGGTTCCAACAATTTTTGAAACCCACCACTGGGAATAAGGAAAGGGAAAGGAGAGGAGGAAGGAAGGAAGTAGAGAAGGGAGGGAGGGAGAAAATGAAGGGAAAGTAGGGTGGTCATAACATAAAAGAGGTCTATGGGATGGTAAGCAAAGCAATCTCGGATGTATATTTTAATTCTTTACATGGAAAAATAAATGTGTAAAAGTGATAAATATAATAAGAACATTAACTATGAGAATGTGTACCTGTAAATATATGTATGAGACTAAAAAAAAACTTTTTACAAAAAAAAACAAGAACAAAATACAACCTACTCTCTCTATTGAGTTACCCATCTGCTTACCTCAGCATTACTGATCTTAAACATAGTTCTCCAGAGTTTCAAAGCAAGAGTCCTAGTTGAAAAGCTAAGAACTGAACCTAAAACAAGCCATGGTAGCGTGGTGTTTAGAGTTGCAGTACCGCAGGCTACTTCTGCTGACTGCCGGCTGCCTGCAATTTAGCAGTTCAAATCTCACCAGGCTCACGGTTGACTCAGCCTTCCATCCTTCCCAGGTAGGTAAAATAAGGACCCGGATTGTTGGGGGCAATAGGCTGACTCTGTAAACCGCTTAGAGCTGTAAAGCACTATAAAGCGGCTATTGCTAAAACCCGTGTTAAGAAAACCATGTCTTTTTCTTTGGCCCACACAACAGGAAAAAAGGTGGTTTTGCTGCTCTCAAGGAATTTAAAACCTCAAAATTAGAAATAAGAGGAAAGAGTTATATTAACAACGTATTGGAGGGATACATTGAGGGACAGGTAAAAAAGACCTGAGAAGATAGTCTATGTGGTCTCTTATGAAGGACATACTTGCCAAAAGAAGTGAAACAAATGTGCGTCACTGAAGTTTATTTATTTTATTTTATTTATTTTATTTGGATTTATAGGCTGCCCTTTTCCCTGAGGGGACTCAGGGCGGCTTACAATCATTAGGGAGGGGGTGCAATTCAAAACAAACAATA